GACAACTCCTCAGAGAAATCAAGAATATTCAGTCAGGCTAAACCAATGGACAATAAAAGAACACACACACACACACACACACACACACACACACACGCGCGCGCGCTCAGCTTCCAAAATCAAAGATAAAGATAATACTGGGGTCTTTGAGATCCAGGCTTTCTATAGAAGACTGCTGACATCAGGCAAGAGCCGTCAAAGAAATGCTCTACTGAACCATGATCAGTGTGACCAGCAAACACATCTTCTTTGCTGAATGGATCTGGCATAGAACGTGAGTCTTGCTGGAGTAATAACAAGCTGACTTTGCAATACAGTTTTAGTTCCATTAAGGAATTAGCCAGTATTTTTGCTTTTTATACATAGTATTAAGTTTTATTTATAAGATTTATAGACATTGATATAACCTTTTATCCCCACTGATATAACACTTTAATTAACCCCACCATGAAAGACGACTGTGCCATGGAAAGAGTATGAGTTCAATTATCTTGTTCCTGATAGTCTGCTATTTTTATCTATAGTTTGAAAAGCCTTATTTTCTATTTCTATTTCTGTTTTTTTTTTTCTAGTTTATTTTTATGTGTCTTGTTCTATGCTCCATGAATTAAGGCAAAGTCACATAAACCAGATATACGGGTAGGTGAATAATGCTTGGTAAAATGGTTGCTTTATGTACTGAATTATAGTAAACACCAACCCATAGTTAAAGACTGCTTGAGTACATGTTCCTTTATGAATATACACATATGTGCACAAATAAATTGCATATACTGTCTGTAGGAACACATGCTTACAGAACAACCGAAATAACAAAAACCAATATTCATTATGTGCTTACTGTCTTCAGCATTCAACACAAAGGCACTTTGTATGGCCTTATTTTAATTCACCCACATAACAATGTATAAATAGGTGCTATTGTAGTGTCTCCCTTTTACCTTAAAGCGAAACCAAGACCTATGAAGGATAAGTAACTTGCCCTTTATTACAAAGGGGGTGAGTCTCAGAGCCAGGATTTGAACTCGGCTTCTCTGATTCTCTGTGTATACCCCAGGATATGTACAAAATTATTCATTGGTTTATGGGGAGGTAACATTAGAGCTAACACAGGTTTTATTTAAAATATGGGGCACCTGGATGGCCCAGTCGGTTAAGCAGCCAACTCTGGATTTCTGTTCAGGTCTGATCTCAGGGTGGTGCGATCAAGCCCTGCATCAGGCTCTGTGCTCAGCGGGGAGTCGGAGCCTGCTTGAAATTCCCTCTCTCTCCTTCTGCCCCTCCCCCTTCTTCTGTGCACACTCTGTCTCTAGAATAAATAAATATATATTAAAAAAATAACATAAAAAATAAAATATGAAAAAATTAGTCTTCTGAGACCAGATGAGATCGGGCGCGTTCAGGGTGCGATGGCAAAGACTTAACGTACAGGCTGATATCGGAACTTCCTGGACCCTGGTGTGCATATCAGATACATTATGTAATAAATTGCCAAGGGGGCAACTTGAGGGGGCAGTGGGAGTCTTAAAACACAGTCTCTTAGAGAGTCTCTGGTGAGAAAGGATTCAAGACAATCCAGTTTGTTTTTTACAAAATAAAATTCTGTAATAACATTTGAAAGCCTCTTTTCACATAATATGAGGAATACTTCTAATTTGAGCCACAGTTAAAAAACGGCTAAATAATACATGACAATATTGTGACAAACTGAATTGTATTTTTTTATAAACACCTTTGAAGATATATATTAAAACACTGTTGAAGATTTAAAGAAACAAGTATCGAACTGAATTATACAGTATAGAAAGTTTACTACACAGCTGAAAGTCAGTAGGTTATTTTTTAACTCATCCCAGCTTGTGGTTATTTGCTACATTCTTTTTTCCTGGTTTCCAAAGTTTATTAAAAATCAAAGAATAGAAAAACTTCACATGAAAATATGTCAATTTTAGTTTCCACGTATTGCACACTTACAGATACACACATACACAGACACACAACACAAATCAAGATGATATTGTTTAGCTCATCCTGTAGTGCGTGACCGCAGTGGTGGGCAGGCCAATTCACTCAGGTCACCATGACGGGGATGGACCATGGCGTCTGTGTCTGTGAACTGAGCTTTAAATTGCACCCCCCAGGACACTTGCCCCACGGTGTTTCCCTAATGTAGGGTGATAGTCACCATTGATAATGTGTGGAGATTAGCACAGGCCTATGTATCAGTTTTTAGAAATATTTCTTGATCAACAGATTCACAATTTAAGTATCTTTAAATATTTCCATCACCAGGAACTTCAGACAACAATGGGCTACTCTATTCTGGATAGATTCTCTTTTAATAACCAAATACACAAATATGCAGTTTTCGCCTTCTTGCTGTTAAATATTAAAAGAAAGAGGTGTCCGGGAAGATAAGTTCTTGGTAGCAAGTGGCATTCCAAACAATTAAAGCAAGGTTTTATGGAGGACTATGTTTAAATAACCAGCAATGAAGTAGGTACGGTCACAAAGAGTATTTAAAAGGATTCCAAAGAAAAAATAAAAGGTAGTAAGAATCGCAAGAAAAGCCTGGGAACAACTTGTTATACTAGAAAGCCTGGCTAATGTGTACAAGGGGAGTCATTGTACTTTTTTTATTTTTTTTTTTATTTTGTACGTTTGAAATTTCCTAGAATTCAAAAGGTTTAAAATTTAAAAATAAGTGAGAAATAAACTGATTTTTAAAAGTGCCCTGAGTATGAAGAGAAGATATGAAAAGAGATATTTAGAAATGTTTCCATGTTGTATGGTTTTGCGAAAAAGAGAGGTTATGAGTACAAAATTACCACATGAAAAACATTAAAAACAGAATCTTTCAATCTGCAAGCAAATGTTTCACTAACTTTTGAATGCTTTTGTTAAAAATATAAAAGCACAATACCGCCCAGTGAGTTTTCCTTAACAATATATTGACACATATATTACGTGAATCTTAATTAAAAACATAGCATTATTGGCATATGCAATTGAAAAAAGAGTGTCATAATTTACAAAATCACCCATGCAATTAGCTTCTTCCATTTGGCAATGTGAAATAATTTTGAGGTATATTTTCCAGCTTTGATCAACATTAAAACTAAGTATTACAAATAAGTATTGCAATAAATTAAACTTAAAACCTGACCACTGAATCAAGGAAGCACATAGTTTCAAATCACAATTTTCAACAGCGAAGCGTATTTATTCACACTGCGATCATTAAATATATATATTTATAATAAGGTAGGGACCGCCATCTCACTCCATATGTAAAAAAGTAATTCAAAATGTAGCAATGACCTAAGCATAAGAGCTAGTTAGAGGAAAACATGGGGGTAATTCTTCATGGCCTTGGGTTTGGCCACACATTCTTACCTTCGATATCAAAAACATAAGCAATAAAAGAAAAAATAGATAAATTGGACCTCATCAAAATTAAAAACCTTTGTGTATCAAAGGACATTATCATGAAAGTAAAAAGACAACCTATAGAATAGGAAAAGTGTTTGCAAATCACATATCTGATAAGTGTCTAGTATCCAGAATACATAAAGAATTCTTACAACTCAACAACAAGATAAACAACCCAATTAAAAAACGGGCAAAGGACCTGAAGAGATATTTCTCCAAACAGATTTGCAAATGGACAATAAGCATATGAGAAAATATTCCACATCATTGGTCATTAAGGAAATGCAGATCAAAACCACAATGATATACCACTTCAGACTTAATAGGATGGCTATTAAAAACCAAACAGAACGAAACAGAAAAATAACAAGTGTTGGAGAGGATATAGAGAAATAAAAAGCCTTATAAGTTACTGGTAGGAATGCAAAATGGTGCGGCAGCTATGGAAAATAGTTTGGTAGTTCCTTGAAAGGTTAAACATAGAATTATCATATGACCCAGCAATTGCACTCCTAGGTACACATCTAATAGAAATGAAAACATATCTCCACAGAAACAAGTACACAAATGTTTACAGCAGCATTATTCATAATAGCCAAAAGTTGGAAACAGCATAAATGTCCGTCGGCGAATAAATGGATGAGCAGATCGTGGTATGTCTATATAATGGAATATTATTCAGTCATGAAATGGCATGAAGGTACATGCCATGACTTGGATGAACTTCAAAAAAATTATGTGAAGTGAAACAAGGAGGACACAAAAGGTCACATATTGTATGATTCCTTTTACAGGAAGGATCTAGAATTGGTAAATCCGTAGAGGCGGACCCTAGTGGTTTCCAGGAGATGGGGGCAAGGAGAAATTGGGAGTGATTATTAATGAATGTGGGGTAATGAACTTTTTCTGGGGTAATGACAAAGTTTTGAAACTAAATAGAGGTGATGGTCATTGCGTAACATTGTGAAAACATGAAATTCCACTGAATTGTACACTTTAAATGGTTAGTTGTATGTTATGTAAATTTCACCTCAATTAAAAAAAACACATGTAACAATAGCCGTATAATACAAATAAAGAATATTGTGCTATGTTAAAAGATAAAATTACTTTAAATATTAAATATTTCAGCTTTATCTTCTTTCATTTCTTTTTAAATATATATTCTTTCATATATATGTGTATGTGCTCAAAATTTTTAGAGACTAAGGTAACAATTTATAAATCTGGATAGTGCTACTCTAGATCCAGGGTAATCTATAACTTGCAGGGTGAATCCATAGACATACTTTGTGTGCATTGGCTGAATAACATTTTAAAATTTGTTTTCCATACTTTTGTGCAGGTGATGCATTTTCTAGTCCAGCATAATTCCTTCATACCTTAGGGTTTTATATTTTTTGTGATCCAAACATTGTTTCTTTCTCAACAGGGGTCAAATAGATATTTGACTTCTCAACCCTTCAGCCAGGGATTGAATTTATCTGAGATGGTTTTGCACCAACAATTCTTCTGTTCTTAATCAGCATTAAAAATGGAGTAAAAAAAAAAAAAAGTGCCAGACTTACCCACACAAGGCAGAGAGTAGCCAAGCTGAGGGTCATGGATAAACTGCCGGTCATTAAGTCTTGTCACACAGTATAAGTAGAAACAGTCTAAGCAAATCACGTGGCGGTGGTTGCACTGAAAAACCAGGACAGAGCTCCTGCACAGAGAGAGAAAGACATTTCCTCTAGTACTTCTAAGGGTGGAAAGGCATCAGGTGCTTCAGGGCACTTTGTAATCGTGTCGGGTTGCTTAGGGCATGTCCTGTGTAAAGACCTGCACCGCTCAGCATTGAGCACATACCCATCAAAGCTACATCTTAAAAATTGGATGCACTTCATTAACTATCTAAAACATTGATTTTCCTAAATGTATATTTTTATACTAACATACTTAGCAATCAGCTGTTTAAACCCGAGCTCAGATATAACCTCTTTGTCGAAGTCTTCTAGAAGCCTCATAATTTGCAATTAACCCACGAATCACCCCACACATTTACATATATTTTTACTGATCCATAATTACATCATAGTATTGGTATGTTTCTCCTCTTATAGACTGTGATCTCTTTGAAAGTAGATACTGTGCTTACTTTACATTGATATTCTTGTAGTACCAGGCATTGTAAGGTTTTAAATGTTCCTTGAATTTAATTTTAATGATATATAAAATCTGAACTTCCCTAAAGCCATAAGAAAAACTACTGTTATACCAAAATAGGTATGTTGAACAGTCACTCATATTTCAGTGGCAAGCAGAAGAGTAGAATTCCGAAATAAAAATTATCTAGCAGATTTTTTTCTGTAAGATTTTGTCTATTGTGTTACCCCCACCCCTTCCAAATATCCAATTGATTAAATTATTAGAGTTTACTAATAAATTGATATATATAAGTTCTAAAAATTTTGTATTCCTTTAAAATGCTTTGTAGGGAAAAAAAAAATCCCCCAAATAACCATCTATTTTTGCTAGCAGATGAACCACATGATTTAATGACCAAAAAAAAGGAGACAAATTGAATATACTAATTTCATATCAGCCCCAAGGCCACTCTAATAGTAAGAAAATCATTGGAGCTTATCTAGATAAACTTATTCTCTATATAATGACAACAAAATACAAAATATTTTTTTAGTTCATACATGATTCTTAAGAGATAGAAGAGCTCTTTAAAAGCCCTCCCCCAGAAAAAAAGAAACTGATATTGAACATTAATATTAGTAGAATATAATTGCTTAACAATTAAAAGGTTTTCAAAATTCTGCTTTCCCACTCATTTCAAAGCAATATCTAATATAAAACAAAACGAAAAAAAATAACATGGTATTTTAATGGCACGGGTCTATAGAGCAATGGTCGATTTAAGCTGAGCAAGCGTGTCCCTAAATGTTTTTATGTGCTTCTGTTTCTCACCTCTGAAGCCACTGAAGTCTTTCAGGGCCATCATTCCCATTTCCAGAGCCTTTTTCAATTAGGCATTGACTGTGTTCTGAACTTTCAACCCTTTCCTTTCTAATAACGTTCTGCTTGAAGATGCTAAAATATAACACTGTCCCATTTCTATCCCAAGTCACACACACACACACACACACACACACGCACGCATGCATGCACAAGGGAACATGTACCTTATTCACTCTGGGTGACCCCACCGAACTGCCGTATTCTACCTTCTCCTCAGAGCTAAGTTCTGTGAAATATATTCTCCATTCTGGTTTTAGCAACATGGTCAACGAAGCCTTTAGGGATCCCTAATCTGCTATTAACACAGGGAAACACTGGACAAAATATTAGAACATTTATAAAAATGTTCTGATACGTAACAAGGTTAAAAAGAAAGCTTAGCAATTACCTTGCAGAAGAAATAAAAAGAAAACTTAGAAAGCCAAAGCAGTCAGCCCATGAACTACCGCCACGGTGCCCCAGAGAGACATGAAGGTACATGGAGTGTGCAGCCATTGGCCCAGCAAGCTTGTTCTTTCATGTATGGACAACACTACACGTTTATGGTTTGGTCCTTCAGTTAAAATATGGTCCAAAAGAACCTTAAACCATGGAGACAACCCACAGAACATCAATTGTTCTACTCTACTGATGACATCCCTCTATTTAGAACAGATTAGAAAGAAATGGTAATTATGTGAGAGGCCATGGTGTGAGGGTAGCCTATGCAGATCCAGGGGCCCCCACATTAGGAAAGGTTTGAGAGGCCCAATGTTTGGGTCGTGGAGGGATGCACTCAACAAAGTGAAGGACACCGTAGTCCATCTGCCCTCCCTATACTACACACACACACACACACACACACACACACACACACACACGTACGTACAGATACAGCAGCACAAGGCAGTCACAGGCCCTGTGGAAACACGGGCTCTGGTTCCCACAGAGTGAAGCACATCCTCGTGGGGACACAGGAGTCGTTCTACTGAACATTTAGCTGCAGCCTCACCAGTTCACTTCCGCCTCCTTGAACTGAGATCTAGGTGGGCGGGCAAAGTGGCCACGCTGACAGGCCTACTTGATCATAATCATCGGGACGGCAAGAGTGGCTGCCGCACGCAGGAGCGGGGAGAATTCACGTGGCATCTGGCTGGTCCACGGGGACATCTCGTGGCACTCCCCTCTGGAATTTTAATGGCAAATGGACGAGGCAGCAGTGAAGGCAGCATTGAGAAGTGCATGGTGACCGGGACCTGAGAGCCCTTATGATTTACCCGTTGCAGCAGCTAACACCAGTGACCCTTATTATTACAAAAAATTACTAGACATCAAAAAGGGCTTTAGAGCAAGTTTTCCTGAGAATAAAAAGTGGGTGAAATGAAAAGCAGGTAACAGCAGTTTACCAAAAAGCCAGGTAAAGGGCACAGGGCCCAAGAGATAAAAATGTGTTCAGCACTGGAAGTAAGGACAGAGGATCACGTAAATCCCTTGAAGGAGGGCTCCTTCCTAGACACAGGGTACGTAGTGCAACCACGAGAAGCTAGAGTGTCAGTGACGGGAGAAACCACATGCTTGTTTCTACACGTCCGCTCTGGAAAAGAAACTTAAAAGCCTTGCTGCGAGTTGCAAGTATAGATAAGTCACTTGGGAATTCTCACCAGCCATCACTATCCATATGCAGTGAATTTAAATATACACACACAGACTGAGATATGGAAAGATATAAAATAAACATGTAAAAAAATATGTATGTTGATGGATACATAGATATGTTACAGAGACAGACATTGCTAGTATGTGCATATATTCACATAGAATTATCAGTCTGTTGGATTTCTTGAAACAGGTTTGAGATGAGATTGCTCATCTGCTTTAAGAATATTTATAGTATTTAGGAGAAAATTAGGCGATGGATAAGCATGACAGCCACAGAAACATTACTGGATTAATCATCTGAATCATCTGAGAAAATGAGTGAGAATTATTTCATGGCTGGAGGGACCACATAATTAACTTCCTAAGCACTAGGTAAGAGGAAGATGGGAAAAACGAGGATTTATGACCACTGCTTTGGGTTGGGTCCCTTGCTAGGAGCTTCACAGATGTTTTTCCATCGCAGCCTCTAAAATGCAGTGCCCCTGCTCTGCCCACGTGCTGCTCCTCTCTCTGCCTCCGGCTGACTTCCAGTTCTTTTACTCCTGGCTCTTCCTCTTTGTCACCCAACCTTCAATTACCGTGCTAGCCTTCATATGCAAGTCAAAATTCCAAATTTCCGGGTCCAGTTCAAGACAAGACCTCTAAGGAACTTGCCCTGGAGCTCAATTCCTCACTGGTTTTTCTCTCTTTCTTTATCTCCTCATCCACGGTCTCTCCTAATGTGCTTCAGATGCTGCCTTCACTTCTATTCCGAGTGTCGCATAAATGGCTCTCGTAGCTCTCAGCATTAAATGAAAAGTCTTGAAGTGACAGAGGCAATACTCGATTAACACCTTCATGACCCATGTCTCACCATATTCGGCGGCGAGCACATGACAATTACGGAGTCAACAGTCACTGACCACACCAGTGGATCGAGGAACAAGATGTTCTTATTTCATAATTTCTCTGCTCCCAGCCTCATATTTTTTACTCAGTTACTCACTGAGCATCCGCTTGGGCTAAAGTAGGCACTTAATAAACACATGTGGGGGCGCCTGGGTGGCTCAGTTGGTTGAGCGACTGCCTTCAGCTCAGGTCATGATCCTGGAGTCCCGGGATCGAGTCCCACGTCGGGCTCCCTGCTCAGCGGGAAGTCTGCTTCTCCCTCTGACCCTCTTCCCTCTTGTGCTGTCTCTCATTCTCTCCCTCTCAAATAAATAAATAAAATCTTTTAAAAAAAATAAAATAAACACATGTGGACTACAACAGCATTGTGAGTGCTGTAAGCACTGGGAAAAACACAACACTGTCAGAGGCCACGGTCTGGGGACACAACACGCGTGTGGAACCGGTATTAAAAGGAGGCCTATGTGGTCATCCAACTCTGGTGCCACAGAAAGGACAGCACGGAAGTATGCATCAAGTTTAGGGAGCCTGAGCTGAATTTAAGGGGGTGGAGGATCAACACGGGGTCCCTGGAGACAAATCGGGCTTCTGGGCAGGCCAGGAAACACAGACATGAGAAAGAATTCTTAGAGTAGAAGAGCTATCAGTTCAGCTGCCTGAGAGGGTGTATCGGGAAAAGAGAAGAGATGGAAAGGTTTGGGGACAGTGGCAGGGTGACGTGAGGAGACCAGCCTCTAGGTCAGGGGATTCACTGAGGCTTCTAAGAATGGGAAGGGAGTTTTAGGAAGCTTAACTCTGAGGCACCTGTGGAGGAGAACAAGCTGGAAGGTGTGAGAACTATTTGGAGGTCATTTTAATAACTCAGGCATGAGTTACTAAGGAAGCAGACTGCGGTGTGCAGGCGGTTCTAGAAATGGACAAGGAGTGACGTTTCTGAGGAAAACCTGCCAGGACTCCTCTTCTCTTGGGTCTTCATTCCTCCCGACATTCCTCTGTGCCCTTTGCTCAAATTATATATAAATGTTAATTGATCAATCTAGAAGACGGTTTTACCCCAGTGGGCCAGGCTACAGAGCAGTTAATCAAAGGTTAAATAAAGTTCTCAGTCATATGGAAAAGGAATTATAAATGCTGCACTTGACATTACTGAAGAGTTTTCTTATTTTTTAA